AAAGCCAACATATTCTGCCGGCAGGTTTCTACATTTGAAGTTCATTTAGGCGTTAATAAACTGTTTCAGAGGAGTGATCATAGCGCTCTGCATCAGCAGTGCTGCGTCTGACTCCCTGCCAGCTCCCAGATCAGCTTCTCTCATTGGTTGATGAAGCGCGTCCAGCAGCTAAAGTTACATTTATCCACCTCCAGCTGCTGCTGCTTGGGAAATTTGAATATTTGAGCATTTCTGGGGGAGATTTAGGGCATATCAAATCCTCGCATCCCAAAAACAGGGGGTATCCTGTACGCATTGCTAGCTAAAAGCCTGTAATGTTCTATTTACTCTGGAAATGAACTGGTTTTAAACTCAACATTAATCCAGAATAATCTGGACCCTCGCATCTTAAATAGAAAACCATCTAAAGTGTTTCTGGGAATAACTGATAAAAATGGAGCTACTAAAGGTTTTTAACTGAACTTTAATGAACCTTCATTTGGTCCAGATTTGCTGTAACTTCCTGAAAAAGTGAAGAAAAGCATTTTTTTCTGATGGAGGTGAAATTGGGGCGAAAGCTTCAGCAGCAGAAAAAAAACAGTTGAAGAAAAAGGAGCATGTTGATCAAAGTTTCTGGGAGGAACGGCGCCGTCCTCAAATGATTGAGCGTTTGTTGCTCCGCTGGTTTTATTAACGATATAAACGCACCTCTGGGCCGGCGAGCGGCATCCAATCAAATCATCCGTTAGAAACATTAAACACTCACAGCCGGAAAATCTGCTTGTTTAAAAACTTCCTCTGTCTGCCAACAAACGGAACATAAACAGAACCGCTGAATGAAATAAGGAGACGAGGCCTAAACCCCCCCCCACCGCCCTGGGAGGGACCATGATGCTTTGCAGGATCCAGGCTTCTGCTCCGTCTTCCTGATGGTTCAGACTTTCCTGATCCACTGGAATCATTTTTTAAAGGAAAGAGAATCTGATATTACGTAGAAATTCTTTTTATTTGTTATTTTGAGAATAAAGTCGTAAAATTATGAAAATAAAGTTGTAATATTACAGAATAAAGTCGTCATACAACAACCCGTTTCAGAAGGAAAGCTTGGAGGTCTGAGCACGAAGGACGGCTTTATGTAAACATATCACCAGAATGATTGACAGTTAGAAGGACCAATTATTTAGATGATCCACCCGGAAAAACAACATCCTTCACTTCACATTAATCCATATTTTAATCAAAAAGGGAAAAAGGATTTTTCTCAGATTAAGATTTCTATAAATTATATTGATTTCTTTTTCGTAAAAATTCAAAAAATATCCACTGGACTTGGTTTTCAAGATTTGAAGACGTTTCTCCACCTCTCCAG